CATCAAATTCAGCCCATGGTGTGTGCTGGTTACTTATGTTGGATGAAAGCAGTTCATTTCTGTACCTTGCTGACACTACATCACATGATAATGCTGATTTTATGTATATTCCGGGCCACAATAAAAGCTCTCAAGATCCAAAAACTTCAATTATGCAAACATTACTTGAAGTAGACAGTAGAACTGCAGTTTTACCATATACATTCCTTACATTTCCTTTCATTTCTCATAAGACCGCTGCATTGACATATTTCTGTATGTTCTGTGTTCCCTTGGGCAATAATTTAATATCTAGCAATTATAGCAAAATTGGTGCATTAGAGAAATGTATTTCTCAAAGTTCAATGGGTTATTTATATGTCTTTTCTGAGTAAAGTTCAACATTGATATGGTTTTCCAATCCAAGGCAAAACAGAATAACAACATGGCCTGCTTCTGTTTAAAACTTGAACATATTTCAGTCTGGCAATATATTTATATGCCACATATTGTTATTTCCTACCTACTTTTTCCGTCTGTTTCAGGAGAAGAGTTTAATCTGAAGCTCCATTTTCATATTTATCTGAAGTCTGTGTCTCGCACATTACCAAGAAATCAGTGGAAGTCTTTAAAAATTTAAAAAATTTTGGACTGATCCTCAGGTAAAAATAGTAGTTCAGTTAAGTTCAAAACCTGAGTGAGTGTGAAATGTGTCCCTAAGGTGTGGATCTCACAGCGTAGCAGGTGACTAGAGTTTCTCCTGCCGCCTTCAGTGCTGGTCTGAATGGAGATGGACATGATACAGTGACCCCCTGTTGAGAAAATACAGCTATTAATCGCAAAAGTAGGTGTGGAAGTGCATGACTTTACCCAATCGACCTCTTACAATATTTTCATTATTATTTTATTCGCACTAAAAGGGGGAGATAAACAATCTCATATTCTGACTCAAAACAGCAATGAAGGGACTGGCTCATCTATTAAGTTTACTTCAGAATAATTACCCAGAAAGATCAGGGGATAAAATCTGTGTACTGGAGACAATGAATGAATGAATGAATGAATGAATGAATGAAATAATAATTAAAGAGATAACTACTGACAATAAAGAAGCTCAAGCATCAACTTCAGCTAATTAATGGCATCTATGAGTATGTTTCAGATCAATCTCAATATGTATTTTGTCATCTTTCCATCCATCCATCCTCCAACTGCTTATCAGTACAGGTCATGGTTCTTTCCAGTAACGTCTCCAATGCACACATTAATTTCTTTTTTACTGATCTGTGAGAGTATCTCCAATCCATGCCACCTCATCAGACACACATCCAAAGATGGGGGCAGCAAGTTCAAATATTTTGTCTTACGGTAGGCAGACTGTAATATCATTATTTCACATTCCCTGGATTTTCCTAATATTTCTTTATTACCACTCCCTTTATAAAAACCATCTGTTACTCTCTAAGAATACATGTGAATGTCAAAGAGTCTCAGCACCTCAAAACAGAGGGAAGGACCTGAAAAAACAAGCCGCATTCTCGCTGCTACAACATGCAACTGTCAATTTCCCCCTTTATTTCAGTTTACAAACAGTGGATGATAATGTTGATCAACCAACCAAGCTGTCATACTGGTATATGATTTGAAAGATTTTCAGGAAGTTACCCTTAAATGATTTTGCTGACCCAAAAAAACAAAAAAACAAACAAACAGATAGATTTACAGACAAAACAAACAAACAAACAAATCATGTGACATTTAAAGCATACTTTTTTCCCTGTGGGCCTTTCTGCCCCAAGACAGGGCTGTTTCCTTATCCTTTTGTTGAGTCCTCTTCAGTCCAGTCTGGTGGACAGACATAATACCTTGGGGCCTTTGTTATCATTTTTTAATAATAGAAAATGTCAAAGACATGGATGCTTTTGGCAAGTGTTATTTAAATGTTATGAATACATAGTTACAAGTTTTCAATGTGAAATTTAGTTTAGAAAAAAAGGTATATGTCACTACTTAGAAAGGCATACATGCTTAGAAAGAGATTAGAATTCCATATGGAACCATACATAAAGTTTCACTTCATTACAGTTTCTGTATTGTTGCCATAATGTGTTTATATAGTGAAACAAAAGAGAGGAGCTCTGAGCTCAATGAGATTTGTATTGTCTGTGGAGACAAATGGTCAGCGTTTCTCTGATCTCAATATCAACACCCAAATGTATTCTGGATTGTTTTCTCCCACTTTCTTTATTATCATATTTATCCTTAAAGTGAGGCTCCCCTCTACCCATTACTGCAGTTTAAATGAGTTTTTGCTGCTATAGGAATGGGATTTATTGGCCGCTATAGGAAACGATAAATTTTGAGGAAATAAGCACTTGGAATTCCCCAGTGAGCATGTCAGTTAAACATTTAAACACTGAAGAATTGATCTTTGTTCCTGTGACTATTGCACTCTGATGATGAAAAAATGAAGCACATTCTGAAGCGCTGCCTTAGTTTTTTAGGGCCCATGCTAGCTATTTAGTTTTGTAGTGTCTGGAAGCTTTGCTGCAAATGATAAGTTAAGAAACACTAGTCTTCAATAAGTATGTAGAGGAAAGTCCTTTTGCAGGAGTCTACCTGACAATGGAGAAGGAACCCTATGTAGGAATTCTGAAAAGTCTAGCTATTTGGTAGTGTGTGTAATTCCTGGATGGACTAAACTGAACAACCTAAAACCCACTGTAGGACCTGAGGTTGAATGCTGGCTGGAACAAAGGTCTTGTTGGGAGATGTCTCTAGACATGGTGAATCAGTTTGAAGAGCATCCAATATATCATTCATCACCTCCCATTGAACAGGTGCCACAAAACGAGAAGGGGATATTGTGGTTCCAGGAACAAGATTAGAATTTAGTGAACTGAACTGTCTGGAAATAACCTCTGTATTTTTTCACCTGATGATAAGCAACAGTGAACCTGAAATGAGTGAAAACCCCTCTGCGGGGGTTAGTGAAAATGAGAAATGGGACCCCCTCCAGCCAATATCTCCTCTCCCCTAGAGCCAACCTGACATCAGTGGTTCTCTCAGCTGTGGACAACTTGTAAGAGAAGAAAGCACCAGGAAAACGTTTGAGAAGGACTAACTCTATGTGGCAGAGAGAGGGCTGGAAGGACCAATTTCTTTATATGTTGTGGAGCTTTAAGGGCATGCAAGATCTTGGTTGTCTTGTGGCCACTGAAATAAAATTTCTAACAAACCATCTGTAGAACCTTGCAAAGCCTAGGAAACAGTGCTGCTCCTTGATGGTTTGGGCTTCGGCCCAGTTGGGGTCTGCTGCCACCTTATCATTTATCATCTGGCTGAAAATGATCTGGCTGGCACTGACTGGCAGTAGGTGTTGCAATTTTATGTCAAAGAAATTCAAATGTAGATTAACAGAAAATGTCAGAAATTTTTTTGTGAATTTCAAGGCATTGAATTGCAATGTATTATATAGTTTAGTTTATTTGTATTTTCTGCTATACTTTGCTTTCCGTTATTGTTTTATATAAGATTAATTCATATATATAAATAACACATATAAACATACACTGCCCGGCCAAAAAAAAAAGTTGGCATTTGAATTTATATCAGCAAATACTTAAGAGCCAATGACTGGATCATTATTACAGCTCAGTAACGTTATGCAGCAATAAAGTGAAGTCAGCTGAGTACCTGAATCTACTGAATGGCCAGGTTACACCTCCATCCAACATCAATGGATTTTTTTCTTCCCTGTTGGCATGGGCATATTCCAGGACAAGAATGCCAAGATTCATTGGGTTCGAATTGTCAAAGAGTGATTCAGGAAGCATGAGGAATCATTTTCACGCATGACTTGGTCACCTCAGAGTTATGACCCTAACCTCATTGAAGGTCTTTGGGATGTGCTGAAGGAGGCTTTATGGAGTGGTTTAACTCGCTTGTCAATACAGGATCTCGGTGAGAAATTAATGCAAATATGGATGAAAATAAAGGGTGAGATGTTGCTTAAGCTTGTGGAAACAATGCCATGACAAATGTGTGCCATAATCAAAGCTACAGGCGGTCCAACGAAAAATTCAAATGGCGACTTTGTTTTTGGCCGGGCAGTGTATATAAATTAATTAGCTAGTGCCCCCTATTTGAAAATACCACAAGCAATTGGACCTTCACAAAGTAACATGCTTAAAAACACCTGAAAAATTTGCACAAACATGGCAGTTTAAATCTTATCAGTCATGAAATGATCATCAAACGCAAACCAATTTTAAAAAGTTTTACTTACAAGGACAAACAAACTCGATTTGTTAACACACTTGCACTCACAGACCTGCTAATGTTGGATTCCCTTGACAATTTAAGCATTTTGGAGACATTATTTTGAAAGCTCAACCCCTTGGCAATAGGCGACTGCAACATTCAGTCACCTTTTCCCAATGCCACCTCCAGTTTACCCAGTCTTGAAAACAGCAAATGAAGGTATAAAAAGTGGCATACCTGTGTTTAGGCGTAGTAATTACATTTCTGCTTAATTCCCCCCTGAGTGGTCACTATCCCCACCGAGAGTGACCAGCACCATGAAGCCATGTGCAGCATAGCTTAAAAATAAGGTGGCGATTGTGATACGGCGTTGAACTCGTCTTATTCCGGGCTATTTGTTTATTACTGTTTTTAGGAACTGCAGGTGATTGGGCGGCTGAAGGTCAAAGGGAGGAATGGTAGTCCCCGTGCTACAAGGTGGTTGGCTGGAAACTCCTGCCATTCAGCGAAAACCGAATGGACAGGTCTGTATATGGGCTAATTTTCTTCACTGGGCTGAGAGCAATGTAATCAGAGATGGGCATTATTTCAATTAAACGTATTTAAAATGTGTACTTAATTACTTTTGAGTATCTTGCAATTTATATTTTGCTGGATGGGGAAAAAATCAGATGTACTTTGTAACAAAACATTTTGAGAGATTGTATTTTATGTATTTAAAATACTTAATATGCGTAACAAAATGATAATTTATTTATTTTCTGTCATTTTAAGAACCTTCCTCAACAGGCTTACAGACATTTTAATATGGCCTATCACTGTCTTTGGCTAAATGTAAGTAAATCATGTGACACATCAAGTTGGGCCCAACTTGCTCGCTGGGAACTTTGTTTTTCCATGACAAGGAAACGAGAAAAGAAGCTGCTTTGGTGCTCAATGCAAACTGCCTTAATGGACAGTATGTAGCAAAATAGCCCTTTATTGCTCACTGAATGTCTCACTGCCACTGCTTCTGCTTTTTCTGTTTTTTTTTTTTTTAGCATATATCTAAAAAACAGTATTCTTTACGTTTGCGCATATTCAACACCCTACTGTAAGACAAAGCTGGAAATTCACAGATTATGATAACTAATTTTATAAATTATTGGTGTGCCTCCTTTTGCATTTTCAAATTACTTGTATTTTAATGAAATACATTTTCTCACACCACTATTTTTGTTTGTATTTTGTTTGTTTGTTGTTTGTATTTTGTTTTGTCACATTTACTGAGCAAGTATTGGTAATTTGTATCAAGATACTTTTTGACGTATTTGTGCCCATCTCTGCACATAAGGAATGCTGTGCATTGTGTGTAGCTGCAGTGTATGTGCTACAGTGAACAGGTGAAAACCGATAACATCACAGACCCCATATTTACAGGAGTAATTCTTTCTGTTTTTGACCATTTTACCTTGTTTTTTGACTAAAGGCTTATCACAAACATCAATCATTGTGCCTTTAACAAAGATAGAAATGCCAAGATCAGCATACTTTGTGTGGTGAGTGTCATGTTTTGCATGTAAACGGACAGGAAGTGCACAGATACCCTAGCGGTCATATTGAAATGCAGTTATTTGTGGCTTTAAATCTGGATAATGTTTTAAAATAGTTGTAATAGTTGTATATTACTACAATTGAGTCATTTTCTGCTGTTTTTTATGTTACTATGTTTTTTTGTCTGGAAACTAGCAGTTGTACCGTAGACTGATCGATCAGGGGGGCAGGGCAGGGTAAGAGACTACATTTGAGCATACATAGAAAATGCAACATACATTTAAGTTCTTTACAAACTAATCATTTACCACATTATAGAGTTATAAGTAAAAATTCAAAGTATCAGAAAAAAATCCAGTGTATTTCATATAGGCCTACTTAACTAAGAGTTTTCAAGTCTGTAAAAATACTTGCTATAAATATTAAATAAACATACAAAATCCCCAGAATTGACATATTTTTCAATTAATTGCTTTACATTATTGCAGCTTGTTGACATCTTGGGCCTGGTCAATCTTCCATCTTCAAACCTTTCTTGCCAAACTTTATATAGACGACAGTAAGGACCACAGCGACCAGAACAGTCACACATCCAGTGACCAGGTATGCAATTGGCAAGAAGTGGTTCTGGCCCCCGAACCAGCTCACTGTGGACAGGACCACTTGCTTCCTTCCCCTAAAGTATTGCACAGGGAAATCTGAGGGTCAGAGGTCAAGGGCAAAAAACGCATTATTGAACATTGGGTAATTTCCTTCACTTGGAATTAAACTGAAACACTGCCAGATGCTTCAGTTTGTGTGGCGCTTTGCCTCTAAGATACAATCAGTGGCCACTTCATTAGGTGAACCTGCTAGTTAGCTTTCTCCGGAGCATAATGAATTGTGTAGTTACCACTGAATACATAGAGTATGCACACAGGCACAAGAGGCTCAGTTACTGTGAGGCTAAGCATTTTACCAGCTATGATTAGTGAATATCTTTAAACAAAAATGCCAAGAAATGTTGCTTCTAGATTCTCAGAAACAGCCAATCTCTTGTGATATGTATGCAACAAGTGGTTTGATAAACAAAATATCCAGCCGGCGATGTTCTATGACTGAAAACACCTTGTTAAAGAGAGAGGTCAGCGGAGAATGGCCATACTTGTTAAAGGGAGAGGTCAGCGGAGAATGGCCATACTTGTTAGAGAGGTCAGCGGAGAATGGCCATATTTGTTAAATGGAGAGGTCAGCGGAGAATGGCCATACTTGTTAAAGGAAAAGTGGTAAAATAACCACAATCTTTGAACAAGTTCTAGAGAAATAAGGGTTTCCTGCCTGCAGTAACCAATAAAGGGGCTATTGAGTGTATGTGGTAGTTTATGACCATATGCTATTTAGTTTATGCAAACTATAAATAATCTCTTGCACGTAGAGATTTTTCCAATACTAGAGCAGACCGACAAATTCCACTAAGTATTATGATTTGAAGGATACTGTATGAGATGGACACACTATAGTTTCCTGCAGGAAGGCCCTGTTCAAACATTTTGCTTGACTGACGGTCAAGGATCCCATACAGCTTCTTGAAATTGGGAAATGCAGCTTCTCTCATCCAAACAATTAGATCTTCATTGATGAAGCCGTTGTTGGTCGAGTCATTGGGGTCCAGCTCATATACTGGCTTCTGCCAGTACAAGGGTTTGGCTGTCGCTGGAATCAAATGCAGGGAACGATGCAGCAGCAAGCATGGTGTAACCATCAGACAAATTTACTGATCAAATCACAGTCCGGCTAATTAAATCAAGTCAAGGATGGGCTGACACAGACCTTGAAAGACTTGAGGGAGAGATTCGTTGGGAACGTATGGATTATGGAACTTGATATTTTTGTCCGTGTACCATGCAATGCCCTTTCGGAACAGAGGAACCCTCAATGGTCTGTCAACCAGTGGGTGAAAAAACAGAGCGAAGGAATCTGTAAAACACACACACACACACACACACACACACCTTTGAATGAGACTTCCAACCCAACTTACAGGATATGTCATGTGTTTGCTAACTGAATATTACATGGATGTCAAATATATTACATGGATATATATATATATATATATAAATATTTTACATGGATGTCAAACATAACAGTCTAATAATTAGACAGCAGGCAGTAAGCAGAAGCCCCAAGAGGACACTCACCATTGAACATACTGTTTGCAATAGCACCACAGGGTGCTATGGGGGTCCCATTGGCATATTGGAAGTTTGGTCCACAATAGACACTCGGATTCTACATTAACAGAGAATCATTTATATCAAAGTTATCCATGGATGTTACGTTCCAAGACCTACCACAAATGTTCGAAACCGTGGATAACAGCAAACCATCCGCATCCCATATATAACATGATTTTTGCGTACATTCATATGGTAAAGTTTAATTGATAATTGACCGGTTTGAGAAACACTGCATTAAAGGCAGACTCTGAGAAACACTGCATTAAAGGCAGACTCTGAGAAACACTGCATTAATTAAAGGCAGACTCTGAGAGAGTATGCAGGGAACTGTGGGTAGAGGGACAAAAGGAGATACATTATGTACTGGGTGCAACTGGGCTGTTGGATGTTACCATGTTGCAGCTTGTTCATGCTTGGCACACAGTTTGAAACTTATGGGCTGTTTATTTCTCAAATTTTCCATTTTTTTTTCAGACCTCGGATAACTGGAGCGGCGGATACGGGTTCCTACTGGGAGTATATGAAGTGTGCCCTGTGCTTCAGGGGAAAGGCTCACAGTGACCCTCCATTGGATAAGGGGCTATGGAGAATGGATAGATGGACAAAGTTAAGTGCCAGGTTGTACCTTGAGTTTCTTGATTCGACCAAGCAGTTGGGCATCATCTCTGGAGTCCATGTACCGGCGGAGGTTCTGATGGAAGTTGACCAAGCCGTAGTAGAAAAACACGTCGCCCTGAAACAGGAGTTTGCATCATTGTTTCTTTGCTGAGCATATTACAGGTACTTCAGAACAAGCTCCCCGAAGTACGAGATTTTACAATATAGTACATACTGTAAGCACAGCCATTTAGGACATCATCAAGTCTTGCATATCTGTAATAATGGGTTTTTGTGACTCGACTAAGAGAAGGTTAACCAGAGTATGATACACTGCAACATACATATTGATTCTGGATATTTCTATTCATTCAGTTGAAGAGATGGCCTACTATTATTATTATTGCATTACACACGCCATTCCACGTGAGGTAAGGAGCACAAACTGATTACAGTGCGTTGCTGCACCCAACACATGACAAACCACCTCAGGGATGAGAACCAAAGTGCAGCTCTGCAGTGATACCTCAGCACCACACTAGTCCGTTTGTGTTTTTTTCCAGTGGCTGCAGTGCCAATCCTGCCACCAACCCTCAAATTTCCCTGTAAGTTGGAGGACCTCCTTGCAGGGCTGGATGTAGATTAACGTCATACTCAGAATTCCACGTGAACGTTTTTTTAAAAGACACACATACATCATTCTGTTAAACTGCATTTCCAGAGTAGTATTAGCTAGCAGACCTCAAGTCTTTCCTTGAGTGAAAACGTAATTGAGCAGTGGCATTCCCGGCTAGCGTTCACTTTGTACTTCCGTGTTTCAAAGCACATATCGCACGACTCCGCGTTGGTGTAGTCCACCTGTGAGGATGAAGCAGAGGGGGAGGTCAGTGTTTATTCTTTGTCATTGTCTTTATCTCTGTAGGAAAAATCTTGTATTTTTCATTATTGAAATTATTTGGGATATTTGCTCTTAAAGACATTTTTTTTGTCTTGTAATTTGTCTTTTTTTTACTGACTATTTGCAATCTGGAATTTCAGTCTGGAAAACCCCCATCAACATAAAATGGTACATTTATTGGAATTAATATGAAATTTCTTGATTTGTTTTGCATTTCAACATTTTAAATTGTGCATGTTTGGACACAAAAGGAGTGATTTTTTTTGCACCCCTGAGTGATCTGCTCAGTCCAAAATCCATTCTTTTTTTCTTGGTATAAATGATTCCAGCTTTTACAGGATAAAAGCAATTTTGGATTGTGCTCCTGCTTAACTGTAGATGCCAGTGGCAATAGACATTTAGATAATTAACACAAGGTATGTCCCCCAAATAATCACTGGAAATAAACAGCAGTAGTACTTATGGCTCTGTGGGATTTACATGTGTCATTTCCTGAAATATAACAACAACTCAAGAGTTTACATCTTCCAACCATTAGTTTATCTCTGGCACATTTCCCTGAACAACCCAACCAGCATTTAAATACAATACAATCAAGTTATGCAACAATAAACACTGAATTTTCAAAATGTCATAAGACAAACATTCAGCTTTCATTATCATTTATTTTGTTCTGAGTGCATGCATCCCATTCCTGAGCAGAGGACAGAGTATCGCTGATGAGAGAAGTTTGCTTTGGATAGATTAGCAATGGATTTTTTTTGGTTCTCTTCTGAACTTCTGTTGCTGTCAGATTTATAGGAAACCCTTTCTTTTCCAGGTTTGTCTAGCTGTAATACTTCTTTCAGTATATTGAATTCGTTTTGGGTTGCGTGGTGGTCAGCGTTTAACACTGCAGCCTCACCCTTCTGGTACCTGGGTTCGAGTCTCTGCCTTGGCTCCATGTGTGTGGAGTTTGCAGGTTCTCCACGTGTTATCATGGGGTTTCTTCTAGATGTTCCAGTTTCCCCCCACAGTCCAAAAACATGCTGAGGTTATCTGGGGTTATCAAATTGCCCGTCGGTGTGCTTGTGTGAGTGATGGTGTGTGAGTGAAAGGTGTGTGAGTTTGCCCTGCGATGGGCTGGCGTTCCATCCTGGGTTGTTCCCTGTCTTTTGCCCGTAGCCTACAGGATAGGCTCCGGACCCGCCGCGACCCTGAATAGGACAAGCGGTTACAGAAGAAGGATGGATGGATGGAAATTTCTTTTTGCTTTTGTTTTGTTTATCTTAGGTCTGTGTTGGACAACTGTGGTTTGCCTGGTTATAAAAAGAAGAATTAGCTGTCCATCCATATTTAATTTCTACCCTTATTGTAACTTTGTATGTTCTTTCCTCTTTTCTAAAATTAAATTAAAAAAAAATCCCTTTTACAGTAAAGGAAAAAAAAACATTCTATCTATTTAAGCCATGTATGTTTCATGACCTCAGCAAATCTGGCCATTTTCAAAGATTCACATTTGTGTTTTACAGCCTGCCAACCCAACCCAGAGATCCCATATCAGGGAGGATGTACTCAGGTTACTTCCTGGTTGAGGTGTTTTTTCTGATTATTCCTGATCTCTGTATTGACCTGCTCAAAAGTTAGCCAGTGCATAATACATCTTCTCAGAGGGACCAAATGAGAGGCCACAGTTCCTGTGGACGCTCACATGCACACCAGACGTACCTTGATCTCCTGTGTGTTCTGCATGGTGATTTGAAGAAGGACCCCCAGCAGCACACATGCGATTCCCAAAAGGTAGAAGAAAGGAAGGACCGTCTCCGCTGTGAGAGAGGGTGACCAGGCAGGCAGCCGCTGCTGCTTGAAGGCCGAATTGTCTGGACACCTATTCTGTGCTTTGGCTTTTTCTTCATTTTCCGCCATGATTTTGCGCTGTTATACCTACTTCTTTCTTGATGTTTGTTCTCCCAGCAGCCTTTGCAGGACTGAGCGCCCTTTGAAACCCACAGATTATTTATTAACTAAAACTGCCAACTCCCACTTCCAATGTACGATAAAGAGTGCCCAGTATTGGACACTGTTTGGAAGATTTGAAGACAATGTTTTCTACCCTTTTCTCTGCGTTAGCAGGCTGTGGATATGCATGGTCCCTCCCATAGTAGCTGCACTATCTTGGGCAGGACTTCTCTTGGATTTAACACAGTCCTCTGCTTAATCCCAACTTTTTATTGAATGCAAAATGAATGGACTTCAGATGCCACAATATCTACCATCAACTGGATCAAAGCAAAATACTGTAAAAAATGTAAAAACACATTTGTCTTCACAGTATAAGAACAGATTCCGGGGAAGTTGATATAAGAATACTTGCACACAATTGTGTGTTGACAAAATCTGCATGCAGAGCAATTCCCAATTGTTTTAAAATCACTTTTGATGGTAATCCGCACCAGACAAAACTCATCCGTTGAGTTTCTGACACAAGCTGACACTAAAACTGACAACAAGGGGCTCAGCAGGATGATGGAAAATCAGCGCCGTTCTCCAGGGGGGGTTTCTTGCATGTCTACTTCTTCTTGACCATAATTTGTTTCTTTGCTGCCTCCCCGACAACACCCTGCCAACCACATGCACCATCCATTATTTCACATATAACAAATTTTGGAATATATATATATATATATATATATATATATTAAAGTATAAGCCAATATTATTTTGTAAGTGCAGCTCTTCACCAGCAGGGGTTAGCAAACTACTGTATTACACTTTCAGAGGGGGGGGGGGATAATGAAGGCAAGGCAGGAGTGTTTCACATGAGCAGCATAGCAGAGCCCTGCTGTACTATTAAACCAGAAAGAGAAATTTGATCTAAATTAATTCACCTGGGTGGATACTATAGTTCCATATTTTTTGTGCCAGGTCATATACGTACTGTAGTATGATACATGCATTCGAATCCTTCAGGATAACACATGTTCTGCAGATCTGGTTTAAAACATCTACTTGTGTACTGCTGCTTTATAAATGTCCACCTATTTTCCAGGCATTAATCTAGCTCAGGGTCACAGTTAAGCCCGGAATCTATCCCGGGAAGCACAGGATGTTGTGGCTCCTTTAATACCCACATCACCTTATAAATCGTAGATTTGCCCCTGCAGAGACGGGATGCTATTCCAATGCAAGGCACGCACAGAAATTGAAACGCTATGGGCAACTTAAAGACACCAGCTCGCCTAACCTCATGTTTTATGATTGGGTGAGAAACCTGAAAAACCACAGAAACACAGGGAAAGCACACAAACTGCACACCCACACAGAGCGGGTGTGGGATCCAGGACACCCAAGCCTGGAGGTGTGAGGTGACCCTGCTGCCCACAGAGACGCTCTTCCAGTTTTTGATATTGATTTTTTATTTCGCTCTTCCAGTTATGGCCCATATGGTCCCTCCATACAAATGCTCAAAATATCCCCTTGTTCCCAATAACTATAATGTGTTAGTAGGCTTTTGTAACAAAAGGACTTGGCTGTAAATCTTGGCAAGGGATGACATGAAAAGTACTGTGATTTAACTGTGCCTTTATGCACTCTGCAGAGCTGTCTCCATCTCACCCAAGGGATTCAGTTTGAACAACACGGTAACATGTATAAGACAATGCCACAATAACATTTATAATACAATATGCCATTCAGAGACAAACCGTGGATGGCTTGTGTGTAAGATCATGACGTTCTTTTTGGAACTTGAAAGTAAATTCGCATTAAGTAAAAGCATGTTCTGCTTCCTGACACGTTGTTCTCCTGTACAGCAGCGTACATCTGGATAACTACCGCTCATTTCTCAAAGGTCACCTGAAAGATGATATGAATGGATTCACTCTAAACACGGTGGACGGGATTGGACGAGACAAACGAATAGAACGAGGCACTATGGGAAAGAGGCCTTCCTGTCTCAGAGTAGCTCTTTATTGCAACAGTTAGGCCAGGAACATTAATTCTACAGATGTTTTTAGCATGTGCATTTTAATCTGGTGAGAAGCTCATTGGAGAGGCCTGGCATTACCTAAGAAGCACGATATCATCTGGTATGCTTCAGTGCACCCTGAGGGGCTTTTCAATGGCTGCCGAGTTTACAAGCTCCCGTGTCTGCCCACTGAGCCAGTCGCTCTGAAATGGCGGACAGATGCCACTACCGTTAAATTGTAATCATGTTCAGTCCTCTTTATATGGGCCCCATGTATACGGTCCTGTAGGAGAACATGATGAAGTTTTCTTGAAGGGGTTTGAAGCACATCCACTGCTCCGCCGACGACTACTGACACTGCCTGGTTCGCTTCAGATCAGTCCCAAGATAGTTACCTGAAGTCAGGGGTGCCGATAGAGATTTTAGACCCCATGAAAGCAGATCACATTGAGCCCCAATCCAGACTAATCCAATTATGTTCCAAATTTTTACGGCCCCCGTCACTGACACACTTGGAATTGTCCTAACTCACCCTCCCCGTTTACAGCACCCCTGACTGAAATGGTTATTGCTAAAGATTTAGCAAACAAAGCTGATTTGCAACAGTAACATAATAATGAAAGCAGCATGAGAAGGAATAAGGGAAATAGGGAAAGTTAGTCTACAAGGGCAAAAAAAACCAAACTGTCCAACCAACTGTCCAAATTGTCTAACCACAGTATACAAATCACTTTAAGAAATTTGAGGTAAACAGCTTTGATAAGATAGGATATCTTATTGGTCTCCAGTGCTTCAGTGCTTCAGTTTCCAAGATATAAACCCTGGATTATTAATATTGTTCCCCTGACGACGGAAGTTAGGCACACATACAGATCGCCCACTCAAACTCTCTGTCAAATTTGGCTGTTAACAACTAGTGGAACAAGCCTTCAAAATTACCATCTTAAATTCACTGGGAAAAGGAATATTATGCTGATCGGGACTGGGGAAAAATCATCTAAAAGCCAGCTGTTCTGAGACTCATCGACCACTTCTTTTTTTCCTGCTTTAGATATACAAAAAATGTAGTTCCTGATTTTTGAGGACAGTGAAAAATAGACCCGTACGGGACCTTAAATATATGTTCGAACAGCAGTCCAGGAAGTAATCTGCAATGTGAGATTGTGACTGATATGCTTGATTTTTACCGTTTTATTTCCAGAACGCCAGGTCTTAAAGATGGAAGTCAGTCAGCCGGCTATCTTCCATAGTGCAAATTAATAAAGGTACTGGTCTTCGTTATTCACTGTGTAATCTTCTGTGGGTATGCTTAAAATCTTTTTATGCCTCAGTTAGATTCAGTAAGTCATCCTTGTTTGTCATATGTCATCAGTTGAAACTGATGGAACTTTTCCTGCCCAGAACTACTACGGTAATAAAGTCTCTCTCAGTTTATGGTTGTACAGTGTATTTCTGCTACACATCCTGTGTCCAGCGGAAGCTGGATTTGCTATTACTTTTATAGGAATGAATTGTCCCCTGTCTGGCTTTGGGACAGGAACAGGATTATGTGAGAGGCAAACATATGCAATGAATGTAGGTCCTTCAAGATTTTATTGATGCTATTGGCTTCATGCAAGATATCAGCAATGAAGGCGACAGCATAGATAACACAAAGAAGAAAACAAACAGTCCAAAAGAATCCCGTAACACTTTCTATGATTGCCCTGTCCATAACAATCTACGAACGCATTCAAAACATAATGCATTCATAAAGTGTTATAAACATAGATATAAATATTTACAGAAAGGCATAACTCATAGCCATATTTATTATACATTATGAATGCTTTATGAAGTTTTTATCTATAATGCGCAACCATAACCAATAATAATAGATGCATTCGTAATGCAATATAAAACACCCTTAATTCTTATGCTGACCATTATAATGCATTATGAAAGTATCTATAGTTCATTATATATGATAGCTATATCGGAGTTTCCAAACTATAATGCCTAATGACTGTCAATAGAAGGTGCTGCAATGTTTTATTTATTCTTATACCTAAAGTATCTAAAATACATTATAGATGACAGCTTTAAGTTAAGTTTTACCAAGAATCCTTCTGGGATAGACTCTCATTTCTGTTTCTATAGACAGGTGCTGGAAACCAGCTTTCAGCTTTGCAGTAGGTTAGCAGTAATAGCTGTTCGTGTTCCTCAGCATTGCAGTAGGTTAGCAGTAATTCCTGTTCCTCAGCNTGTTCCTCAGCATTGCAGTAGGTTAGCAGTAATTCCTGTTCCTCAGCTTTGCAGTAGGTTAGCAGTAATACCTGTTTGTGTTCCTCAGCATTGTAGTAGGTTGTCGGTAATTTCTGTTCCTGTTCCTCAGCATTGCAGTAGGTTAGCAGTAATTCCTGTTCCTGTTCCTCAGCATTGCAGTAGGTTAGCAGTAATTCCTGTTCCTCGGCATTGCAGTAGGCTAGAAGTAATACCTGTTCCTGTTCCTCAGCTTTGCAGTAAGTTAGTAGTAGGCCTGAGCCTGTTCCTCACATGTTCCTCAACTGTGAACCCATCTAAGAACATCAAGGAAGATTAACCCTGGAAATGAGCCTTCAAACTTCAGTGTAAAAGTCCTCATTTCCATTAGCATTTCCAGTGCAGTCAGGCAGCCAGTTGGCCTTAGATGCCCTTACATTTTTCCCAGTGCCTACTAACTTCATTTGGTTTCTCCTGTTCCATCGCCTCTAGGCTTTTTCCATGCTAACCATTTTAATTGTATTTTGTTAATTGCTTAATTCAGTCTCCAATGGTATAAATATGCATTGTTCCATGTCTGCGTGCTGCTGCTGTTGGTATAATTAATGCCAAGCATATAAAATAGGAAAAATTGTTATATAAAAATGAAGAGGATTCATTGACTTTCATTTTTAATGGAAAATTCATCTTGTCCCATGAGGATATAACATTTGGTGAGTACTGTAGGTAGGTAAGGTGATGGACGACATCCGATGGTCGGGTCCTGAGGT